GCACCTCGCTCAGCCAGTGAGCGGGAACCGGTCTGTATGTGGGATCCGAACCCTCGGCGGGAGCACCGCTGCGCTCCCAAGTGGCGCACTGCTACAGTGCACCACCGGGCCGGCCCTAAGCCGTATCCTTTTAATATTAACTAGACTTAGTGTGTTTCCTTAAAATGAACAGAAAACTAAAAAATTTGAAAAAGAGGCAGTGATACCATTATACTGAATTCCCAAGGCAGCCTTGTGGCAAACACTGTTTTCTAGCAGGGAGGCCAGACAGACCAACAAGTTGGAGACAGACGGACAGCCCCAGCTTCCACGTTCCGCCACGTTGCACCAACCGCTGGGAGCAGAATTAGGTGCCTGGTAGGTGTGGTTCAAGGTGCTGACCACATCGCCTAAAACAGAGCCAGCCCTCCAGGGTATTTCCCGCATCGACCCGGGTGCAGATGCTCTAAAATCAACAGAGAGCTGGACAGAGCAGAGCTCATGGAAAAACTCCATTTTTCATTTTATTTTGGTGTGTTAGTGAATGACTCCTGACCTCGTATTTCAAGTGTGGATCATGTAAACACCATGTAAATGTGGTAAACAATTAAACAAGAAATGCGCTGGCGAGCAATACCAGAGCCTTTGACTATCAGCTCATAAATATAACCAACCATGCGATATACCCGACGTGATGGGAAAAGCATACTCACAATTAACACATTTTAGTTCATATGATTAAAAAAAACAGTGAACTGCATTTAGTGCAGCTTTCTGTCGCATCGGACGTCACAACCCATGCTGTGGAGACGAGCCGGGCTAGGACACACACAGTACACAGCCGTGTTTTAAGCCGAATGTGAGAGGAAAGCCATGGAACAGGAGACTTTTACATACATGTATACATCTAAAGGTGGTGTCCACGGAATGAGATTTATTACAGGGCTCTGTGTGCCGCGACTTCCAGCTGCAGAACACCCCAAGTTATTTCTTCCCCAGAGATCTACTTCTGTATAGAGTAGAAAAAGTTGGTGGTAAAAAAACCTCAGAATCTTCAGGCTCCCAGGGCTCTGTCCCACATACCGTATGAACACCTAAAAATATGAAGAACAATTTAGAAATCTGCATAATTATAAGCATAAAGATAAATATAGCTTAAAGCCTACAGGAGAATCAGTGACTCTCCATCTTTTGTCTTTTGTTTAATTCTTGCCTGTGCTGTCAGATAATGTCCGCTACACATGGAAAGTCCCCTGTGGGAAACTGGGAAAGACAGGAAGCTTTACAAACTACATGGAGACACCTGCTGATTCTGTAAGTGAGCCTTCTCTTTTAGCAAAGGCACATTCACTTAGACCTCAATTAATGCGATGAAGTCCCCTCGCTGACACAAAGGGCGGGATCCCTGCACGAGCAGGGACCTTCTTGTAGGGCACCCGTCCTTTCTGTCGGGACACTAGTGCTAACTGCTGGGCTCCGTCTCCCTGTCACACTGGGCTGTGGGGCGCAGGCAGCGGGTGGCGAGTACTCACCTGGGAGCCTGTGCAGCCCCTAACAGCCACATTCCTGCACACTGGTGGCCTGGGCGCGCCGCGGCGACCGCAGCTGTCTCAAGGCGGCGTCCCCGTACTGGATTCCCGAGCCCATTCTTTCTGGGTCCAGCTCACCTGGGAAAAAAGGTTTTCATGTTTCTGTGATCCCCAAGATATATCAAGTGAAGAAAAGCAAAGTAAAAAATCACACGTGTACACGTCACTGTACGAGGCACTGCAAAAAGTCCGTGGAAAAACAGAATTAGAAGATAATACAAATCTTTCCAAGAACTTTTTGAAGACCCCTCATATTTAATAAAGAGGAAAAAAAAAACGTGTGTATTTGCTTGCAAAGGCCCAGAGGACTAGTGATGACCGCAGGCTGCAGCGGGAGCTCTGGACGGCCAGGGGATGTGGGGTCGGGGGGCGGCTTTTCATTGCACACTCTGAACTTGTTAAGTGTGGATTACACAAATACATGAGGTATACAAAAATAAATAAATTTAAAATTAAAGCACGGAGATACCATTTTTCACTTAGACTGGTAAAAACCCCGGTGTGATAACATGCACTGTGGACAGGCCTTTGGTAAACAAGCCTGTCGACAGGGGAATCTGACAGTCCCCGCCTAAGTCCCAAATGCATGTGTTCTCTGACTCGGCGAGTCCCCTGCTGGGAACTTACCTTTCGTGTACACTTGTGCACGTGTAAGATGGTGCATACAAAGTTAATTACCGCGGCACTGTCTACACAGCAAAATGTTGTCTACAACCCAAATGTCCAGAGTTGACCAGCTCGATATATCACGGTAAAACACACATGGAATAGTACATGCCACACACACACACATTCACATAAAACTCTACATGCTGACTGTAATGATTTGGGGGTACAGTCGGTGAAAACAGCAAGAGGCAGCCGTCTCTCTTGTGGTTTTGGGTAAAAGTGGGGGAAGAGATGGGTTTTGAACCAGATGAATGCACTACCCACTTGAAAAATTAAAATTCAAAAGTATGCTGAAGAATCTTAACGTAGACCCTTGTATTTTTCACCTAGATATGACTCCGATTTTGGTGCTCTCAGAAGAAACGCATCTTGAAAGTCTCACGTGATCGAGCTGTATCGGCTGCTTTCACGGGCTCCACGTAAAAGTAGCAAAGTCACTCAAATAAATTTCACGTTCAGCCCAACGACACTCAGCACCACGCCAATCTTAATCATAAATACTTATCCTGTAGAGTCTTGAAAAATAACAGCTTTTGTACCAAGCTTAGTCAATTTTATTTGTTTTCTGATTAGAAAAATACAAGAGGGTGTCACAGCTGCTCCTATTGAGACCCCATCACCTGGGCCCCAACCTCCTTCCACCCCACCCAGTGCCACCTGCCCCGTGCCCTGCTCTCCCGCCACGCACTCTCAGCATCAACATGTGTGTGCGACAAGTCCTCCCTCACCCAAACCTCTGGCTCTGTGCCCTGTGGTGCCGGCTCCATCCTCCGCCTGCTTGTTCCTTAATGGTGGCTTCTGTGAAGGTCCCCACATCTGTAATTCTGCAGACGCTGCCCTTGATGAAGACGACCCCTGACGTCCCTTGCCCGCCCCAGCACACACGTTCCAGCTCGGCTCTTAGCTGTGAGGCCTTCCTGGGCCACATCTGGTAAGGGACACTCTTCAACGCGCACACGGTGCAGGCGCAGGTGGCACGTGGCCCCTGGGTCTCACCCTTCCCCTGCAGGGGTCTGCTCTCAGTCCCTGCTGTCCTCATGCGGACTGTGCTCTGGACCAGCACCTGCCTCCCCAGCTGCCACCAGCCCAGAACTCTGTGCACACTCCAGCGTGACGTCAAAGGTGGCACAGCCACTGCAGAACGCCGTGCTCCCTGGGACCCCCACCCCTCTCTGGCTCCACGTCTCACCTAGTGACCCAGGTGTGCCCGCCTGGACTCACCCCGGCTCCCTCTTGACCTTCGTCGTCACCATCCCTGACCCCAAACTCAACTGCCCTTTCCTGCCACTTAGCACAGGAGTCGTGTGATGCTACTGCCTAGATACGTCCCAGATTCTGCTGTCTCTTCCACTCCCCTTCCACACCCTGCTAAAGCTCTCATCAGCCGTCTCTGCTCCGATTACTCGAAAGTGCCTCATCTGGCATCCTGACTCTGGCCCCGTCCCTCTCTCCATCACGGCCTGCTCACCACTCACCCAACGGCCGCGGTTCTCAGCCTCGGGTGGGCGACGACTCACACGAGAGAGCATGTAAAGATGCAGAGGCCCAGATGACACTCCCGCACGACGGGCTCAGCCTCTGCAGACGCGGGGCTGGGGGAGTCTTCTCTGCGCCCCAGCTGGCTGCTGGGCAGAGAATCAGCGGCCCACGAGGTGAAGTTCCAGGCGCCCCTGACCTGGCTCACTGTTCCCGATGTTTTAAAAGACTGAGCTCAGCTGTTGCCTCCTCCTGGAAGTCCTTCTCCCTGACATCCTCCCACCCTCCAGCTGGCACAGGTTCCTCTTTAAGTTACCCTGAGATCCTGCGCATCTCTCAA